TTTTTGTTTCTTAATTATAAAAAATATTTTTTTTCGTTCTTTAATTTTGGATTTTTGTATAGTTTTAGTTTCTTAAATTTTTTATTTTTTTTGTTTCTTAATTATAAAAAATATATTTTTTTAGTTATTTTATCATTAATCTGTTAAGTATGATTATATATGTATATTTTTAATTTTTAAACTTTTAAATTAAGAGATAAAAAATCTATAAAATTTTAAAATTAAAAACTAAAATATACATATATAGATAAATTTAATGGGTTAACTAATAAAATAATTAAAAATATATTTTTCATAATTAAAGGCAAAATAAATTAAAAAACTAAAATTATATAAAACTTTAAAATTGAAATTTAACCTTAGATAAATGTAAACAAAGAAAAATTGAATTGCTGACTAATTTTGGCTATAGTTTTCTTTTTGGGGTACAGTATAGCTTATGTATTAGCATCTCGACAGAATATCTAGACAGAATATCTAGACAGCAGCCATGTCCCAAAAACCTTCTACAATTAATGAAGAAAACAAATACTCCACTTACAATTTTGTTGGGTATATAATTGGCGTGCGTTTGTTGCTTTTCCCCCGTGGGTCAAAGCACATGTGTGTTTAGTAATCCAAATTCTTTGTGGAAAGGAATGTGGTTCCATTTTTCTACTAATTATTCTTTTTCATTTTTTGTTCAAGTTTTCAAATTTTCATATGAAGAAAAGCCACGTGAAAAGGGTCAACAGTCCACAATCTGACGACGCTGATGACCTCAAATTCACCTCTCTTTTTCCCACAAGGGTCACACCCTGCTGCGTCACCGCCTACATGTCGAAGATACTTGGAAACTTTGCTCTTAATAATTTGCCCCCGTTTTGGCCATTAGTTTCAAAATTCCCTTCATTTACATTGACTACAATTTCTAAGTCGTGTGTAATCTTTGATCCAAATCCCATTTAGGTACGGGTTCATGAACCAAGAATTCCGTTTTGACAACGTTTTTCCTGAGATATATCATTAAAAGGTGAGGAAGGCTGAAGCTTTATGAAAAAGTTTAGTACAATTATTATTATTATTATTTTGTAATAAAAAATTTTGAAAATAGAGAATCTAAATATAAAACTCAAGTTTTGAGTGTTTCGAGTACTTTTCATATTTATATAAATAGTAAATTATTATGTGCTGAATAGTTTAGCATAATTATTTAAAACTATTAGTAGCAAAATTTCTCTCGTTTACTGTTGATTATAATTAGTAAGCAGTGCCGATCATTTGAGTAAGTATGACAATTTAAATAATTTAATAATAATTATTTTAAATAAAAATAAAAAAAATCATGAGTTTAACTAATATGATATGTTAATGAAGTGAATTAAATAATAAAAAAATTATTAAATAGGAGTAAAATTTCCCTCATTTACCATTGATTACAATTAGTAAGTAGTGGATCAATATTATCCGAATTTCATCCAATAGAGGTTTATAAACGAAGAACTCCACTAACAACAGTAAGTCTGAATAGAATGATTTTGATATTTTTAAATAAAATTTTGATTTCGAAACTTGTGAATCAAAAGACAGATATTAAGAAAATTTTTTTTATAAAGTCCAACTCACTTGATTTTAAATTAGTTAGTGTTCAATATAATTTTTTTAATATCAAAGATTTAATAAAACAATAAAGAATTCTTCTCGATAATATTTTTTCAAATTATCCTACAAAAATAAGGGCTAATGTTTTATTGCAAGTTTAGTACATTTATTTAATACTATTAGTAATTGGTTTTACTTAATTTAATAATTAATAATTATTACATTATTAATAATTTAAATATTTTAATTATCAAATTAGATAAAATTATTGTAAAAATAATATAATTATAATATTATTCATATTATATTATAAATTTTAACATAAGTTGTTATTATATATTATAATTATTTCTTTTTATTCAAATTTTTTATAATATTATATATATTCATTTAATAATATTTCATACTTACAATATCATAGTTATAAATTTATAAATTATAATCCTACTTAGTATGATAACTATTCCATCACCGGAACTATCATCTATTAATTTCAAATTTCTATATTAAACACCCCCTAAAAGTTACCCACCAACCAAAAAATGCAAAAAAAAAGGCAAAAAGTCTCCAATAATAAAATTCAAAAGACCCCATAGCCTACCAACTTCCAACTTCCAAGTTATATATTTCAGCCCTTGGAATACAGAGTATGCTATTGGAAAAAAGAGCAGAAGCCATGGTTCCAGTCTCCCACGGCATCGAGCTGCCTTTTAACGAGAATGACTCACAAGACATGGTCATTTTCCAAGTCCTCAACGAGGCTAACCAGGCCCTGTCCGTCAATTCCTCACAGAGTCTAAACCAGAGAGGCCAGAACACCACGTCCAAGGCAATTGAACCGGCCCGGACCATTGGGAAGAAGCATTACAGAGGCGTCCGGCGACGGCCGTGGGGGAAATATGCGGCGGAGATTCGCGACTCCGCTAGACAGGGAGCGCGGGTGTGGCTTGGGACGTTCCAGACAGCAGAGGAAGCCGCGTTGGCTTATGACAGGGCAGCTTTCAGGATGCGCGGTGCCAAGGCTCTGCTCAATTTTCCGGCTGAAGCTGTGGCTGCTTCTTCCTCCCTTCAGATATCAAACCCACAATTGAGCTTGATGAAATCAGAGGAAAATAATACGGACTCTGGACCTGGTAGCTCAATTAGCAGGGTTTCATTTTCGACATCACAGTCGGAGTCAGAGAGCAGCACGACTGGGGAGTCGCCGGAGAATTATCCGATTACTTAAATGTTATTTTTTATTTCTTATCTCATCCTATCTATATGTCATCATCCTATCTATATGTCATAAGACTTGAATTTATAATCTCTTATTTTCCATCTCTATTTAGTTCATTGGGAGAATAATATTTGTTTTGAGATAATACTTTTCATTTGTACAAAAGTGGTGTGGTTTATATTATTAGTGAAAAAAATAATAATAAAGAATCTTGAACACTTTGATACCTTATTGATGTTTCTGGTATGAGATTAGTTTCAGTGTGTCTTCTGAATTAAAGAATCGAGTTTAATCAACTCCATACCAATTGATTCACGATATCACTTGATGGCTGACCTTTCTTAAAAAATTGATATGATTATGCCAAATATATTCTTGGTCCCCACGTGTCATTTCAAAACCATGTGCCAGTTTAACCTGAAGTTTCTTTGTCAAACCTTCCTGCAATTAGGGTGTGGAGACAAATTGTGTATTGCTCATTATTTACTGTCGTTGAACTTGACTAAAAAAAATTCAAACAGGAAATGGCTATCTAATACATTATCTCCTATTTCTTTGACAAGTTTCTTACCTGCTCCATATCTTCGTACAGTCAAACCTGGGAGAAAGCAAATTCAAAAACTTGTTCTCAAATGGGTGCTGGAAAATTCTTGGAAAATTAGGAGTTGGTCAAGTTCTTCCAGAAGGATTTTGCTTGTACAATTGTTAAATGATTAATGTCATTTTTTTGGGAAAATTCCGGGTTGGTTCTTAAACCCACATGGAAGAATGAACATTGGATCTTAGCTAAGCTTAGCTCAAAGCAAAGCAAAGCTTAGCTCAAGTAGAAATGCACTCTATTTGAAGGCCCACTTTGTGGACTCGGCCCATATTATATTACACTCAAAAGAAAATTTGCAAAAGGAAAGATTTGTAGAAAGAAAAATTAACTAGAGAAAAAAGCTTTTCAGTTCCTGTTAGTTTAGTCATGAAAATATAGTTTTGTTGTTAACAAGGTATTAGGGTTCACTCTTGTGTTGAAAAAAATGGAGTTTCCAAACTCAAATTTCTACAACAATCATACCCAGAATTTTTTTTTTTCAAAAGGAAGACAGCAGATTCTCCAAATAATCACTCCCCAAATCCTGAAATTCCACTACATCTACATCATACCCACCCCCAAATATTTCCTCCATGTTATACGTTCTGTTCATAATCAAGTCAGGTTCTTCTTCTCTTTTTGTGAGATTAGAGAGAACCATATCTTCTCTTCTAGCCATTCTCTTCATTGCGGGCTCCTCAATCATCACACAGTCATCGCTTTCTTCCCAATGTATTAATGCCCTTTTCCTGGGATTCGAAACATTTCCCTTATTACCTTGACTGGTTGAAAACTTGCAACAATTGAAGTCATTTTCAATTCCCATGGCCTTAACAACTGTCTCAAGAGGGAAGTTAAGATATGCTTTAGGGCCTCTAATCCTCAGGGCAGCCTTGTCATATGCCAGAGCTGCTTCCTCTGCTGTGTCAAAAGTCCCCAGCCAAACCCTGGCTCCTTTCTTCCTCGAGTCCCTTATCTCTGCCGCGTACTTCCCCCACGGCCGCCTTCTCACTCCCCGGAAATGTCTCGTAACCACCTTATCTTTTCTGACAGAATTCAATTCATTCCCTTGATTGGTGTCACCTTTGCCTGCACTAAACGCACAGGACTGGTCCAGGTTGGTTACAGGAATTATCCCATAAAGAATTTCCTCCCACGCCTCTGTTCCCATTGATACCCACCTCCCCAAACTTGGCAGCCTCTGCAAGACTTCCATGGATCCATCTCTTCCGTCAAGGTCAGGTAGCCCCTCCCAGGACTTGTTTGTGTCCTCAGCTTCATCTCCAGCAATGAACTTCGCCCAAACGCTCTCTAACGTCGCCTCTGTATTGACTCTGCTTTGCACAGTCATCTCTCAATCGCCAAATATCTCAAAGAGTGTTGGAGTTTTTGAGATTCAGAAATATAAAGGGTTTCTGACGGTGTAATTTGAAAAACTAATATATATCTTTTTATCCTCTACTTCATCAATGGGCATCCAATTGGAAACTTGTGCTTTAATCTATTGACTTTGGACAAATTCATTGAAGGAAAATTATGATTCAAACGATAAAGAAATAGCTGCTTCTCTGTATTTTAAGGCTTTCTAGTTGACTTTCCTGGTTGTTCCGATTCCAATCATTTTTGGGGCGTAATCCATGGAGATTCTTTGTATTTTGTTTATGTTAACTAGAATTACTTCCTTTGATTATATTCGAGTGCCGAAGAAGCAGGGGAAAAACAGAGGAAGCTGAACTTCATAAATTGAGACGTAAATTTCCCTAATCATGTAATTCTGGTTGTTTCTAGGAATTGCTCAAGTTATCTACTTGGGATCTATAGGTCTCATTGTAATTAATCTAGGGTCTAATAAGATTCAGAGGCGGTTATGTTAAGTTCCGCAAATTTATTGATATTTTAATTAAATTATTTATTTTCATAAAAAATGAAAATACAAGAGCCCAAATCCTTTTGATTTTTGCTATTTATGTTTTTAAAACTTCCAAGGAAAATGCCTGTGGAATTTGGAAAAAGGAGGGGATAAGAGGGTCGGTTATCAATATCCATTGTAGTGTGAACAAAAAAGATCCTAATCTTCACGCACAAGTTTGTACCAGAAAGGAAGAAATCCAATAACAGCAAGGGATATGATAGATACATGTTATATGATAGATACAGGCTATAATTAAGCTTCACACGGTTGGTTGACTATTTATAAAATAAAATTTAAAATTAATAATTTAAATAATTTAATGATAACTTTATTTTAATAAAAATAAAAAAATTTTGAGTTTAAATAATATGTTATGTGAGAATATAATTGGATAAAAAATGAAAAATAAATGCTTCTCATTCAACAACCCAAAATAACAAAAAAAAAAACAAAATTACAGTGACATAAGGAGGATAAATGAATATTAAACCTCAAGGAAGAGTCAAGTGTTATACAATGCAGCGATTAGGATTCCACGGATTTAGGAGGCGGAATCTTGTGTGACAAGTGCAAGTAATCATAATCTACAGGTATGATTAGTTCAGCCATAATCAAGAATATCTTTCTTTCTAAACCTTTTTTTTTTTCCTCTTCCTTTTTTCGTTGTGTTTTTGGAAAGTGAAAAATGTCACTGTCGAAGAGTATAAGGGGTGGTATGCTTCTGAATTTGGTTTAGTGGCTAATCTGCCATTGATAGTCAAGTTCAGGGGGTTTTTTTGCATGATTCGCCAATTTAATTTTTATAAGAAAGAGTTTTCATGAGCCACTTAAGTTGTTGGCCTATTTGATCTCAGGCTTTTATCATTGATTGATCAATGATTATGGTTCAAAGTAATGTATGGCTTTAGATAGAACCATTATGGTAAGGACATTTAATATGGTTCAAAATAAAAACAAATCACTTTCATTAAATGTTTATAAGAATAAGTTGGGTTTCTTGCATCAACTATACCTAATTAATATCCTAAGATTGAAATAGTGTAAGGTAGGAATTCCTATGATTTATGTTTCTCAAACCTGTTGACTTTAAAAGAAAAAGAACATGCATAACAAATAAATAGAAAGAAAGCCAAAATAAATAGAAATTAGAGATTAGAGATCAAAATAGGAAAAGATATTGTGGACTTTAGTTGGCATCCCTCCTGATTCATATTGGGGAACTCATTAACCATGAACCTTTTGTGCTCCCATCTCAAGTGCACAAGTGTTTTAATCAAAGATCTAATTACCTTTGATTCTTATATTACTCTTAAGATAGCACTAAGAGATACAATTGGTATTGAATAAAAAAATTAGTCAAACTTAAAGTATTATTGGTATTATTTTTTGTACTTTTACTCTTAATATTTGTTCTTAAGTACTTTTGAGTAGAGGTGTTCGTGGTGTGGTTTAATTCAAATTTTAATATTTTTTAAACCAATCTAATTTAATCAGTTAATAAAATTTTAAAACAAATCCAATCCACTATTACATGATAACTAGACAATCCAACTTAAATTGGATCGATGTAGTTCAGTCAGATTGATCAATTCTTAATATTATTAAATATATGAGACAATATAAAAAAACCTTTAACATCATATAGAAGACATAATTATAAAACACATTAGCATCCAAATTAGTAAAAACATAATAAAATGTACAAATTATAAACAAGTTCTTATACTCTTTTACATTTGTAAAAATAAAAAAGATCTTAAAATTCTTTTTAGTTATATCACTAAAGGCACTAGGAACAATAAAAAGATGACTTCAAGTTTCTAGTATAGTGTAAATAATTCTTACAAATTAAAATTAGTTTTTTTTTTCTTAATGCACTAATAATTTAATTACATCTTCTAAATCTTGTTAAAAGTAAATAAAAAATTTAACATGAATATCACTAAAATTGATTAGAAGCATTTATAATCAAAATTTAAAATTTCTAAACCAAATATCCAAGAATAGTAGAATATCAAAACTAATTTTATTATATAGTTTTAAGATTTTTACAATGATACTTCTTTAAAACTTAGTTAGGAGAAGCATAATATTATTTTATGAACAAATTAGAAATTTAGGGTTCTAAGAGTAAATGTACAAACCAATTTTGAGGGGATAAAGTTGTAGGTGAATTAGAAATTTAGAATTAGGATTTAGGGTTAGTGTGCATGATTAAAATGGAAAAATAACTTGGGGAATATGGAAATGTTCTATTTTTATTTTTTTAATTAAGTTAATGGAATTATTATAATGTAAAATAAGAAAAATAAATTTTAAAATACTAAAAAAATATTATATTATTTAATTAAGTTATCTTATAATCGAATTTTATTTTATAATCAAGCAGTTCGGGTGGTTTAAAGGTAAAATTACAAACCAAACCAATTATATCGGTTTTAAAATTTAATAATTCAAGCCAACCCAATTTTATATTTGTTTGGATCGGTTTTTGATTGAATTGGATCATTTTAGGTTGGATCAATCAGATTGGATCAATCAGATTGGATCGGATATGAACAACCCTACTTTTGAGAGCTTGAATGGTATGGTTCTTAACCTCGCAAGGTTTTACAAGCATCAACTAGAATAGTGTTACCTTTTGTCATTTTCTTCTATGAAGTTATTTTCTTTTTAAATCCAATAACATGCATTTACAAGCATCAATTGGAATAGATTGTTACCTTTTGTCATTTTTTTTATGAAGTTATTTTCCTTTTAAATTCAATAACATGCGGTTTTATTTTTATTAACTTCTATAATTGTAGATGGACTATAAATCTATGATCATAGAATTATAGCTGTTTATTTTCTTTTTTACCAAGTTGTTGCATCTTTGGACGTTTGTTTTGTTGGAGTAGTTTGTACCTCACACCTTTCTTTGACATTAAAGCAATTTGCATGCTTATCCTAGCTCTTTTCTTTTTCGTGCTTTATTTTACCTGTTTTTCTTGGAACCCTAAGAAAAGTATTTGTGTTTTGTTACAACATGGTTAAAGTATCTCTATGGCTTCATAAAAGTGCCTATTGATGCAAGTGAATATCTTAGCATTATTCATATATATCTAATACCCCCTCCCATTGTAATTTCAATGCAGAAGTTTCATTTTGAAACTGGTTTAAGTCCTAGTGTGATTGGACTTTCAATTGGGCCTACACTAAATTAAACTTTGCAATTTTAATGTGAGAGTTTCTGGTGGATAAGGGGTTTCATTTAAGAAAGTTCTTCGAGTTTTGAGTAGATTAACAAAGCAGGTATCTTCTCTTTCTATTTTGAATGCATGTTTGTTGTCATTTACACTCACTCATTTGTTGCCTCCAATGCTCCTTAGTGGAAATCTTTGATTTAGATTAGGATAGGTGGTTTTAAAATACTCAATTACTTTCAATAAATTACTACTCCATTTCATTTACATACCGTTTTTTATTTCTTAATTTTTTGAGTGGTATGACTAATCACTACTCATTTTATTCCATTTTTCTTAAAGTTTGACATATGGGGAGACCAAGAAAAATGTTGCACAAAATTGTTGTTTGTGAGAATGAGCCAAGCGATGAATCTTCTACACAAAACAATAGTAGAAGCGAAGATACTTTAGCCAACACCCAAAACCAACCAACTCAAACCATTGCATTCAACACCCAAGGCATAAATAAAAAAAGTTAGACCAATACAACTAATATGCAATGCCTAAGCCTATAAGATCATGCGAGTGACCCAATAAATTAAGCTATTTGTTTCAATCTTCCACACAATAAGTAGCCATAAGTCATTGAGAATGAAAGGAAAGAGTAAGAATTGAGGTGCTCTTAACTCTTAGCTCCTAGCTATAAGCCTGAACTTACTCTTCTACCACAAGTTGTTTGACTAGGAAATTAAGGTAAGAGTAAGTTGTTTGTTT